TAATAGATAAAAGTAATAAAAGTAAATAAAATAATATAATAAATAATTAATAATGAACTTTTTTATATTATTTATATCATATTATTTCAATTTCAAGCATATTAATAAATTAACAATACAATATAAAATACAATATAAAAAATTGAGAACATTTAACCTATTTAAACTTAAAATATAATCTTCACATATTTTATATTAACAAATCCTATTAACAATTTATTATCAAAATCAAAAAAGATTTTGTATATAGAAAATAATGAGTTATATATAGAGCAATTTTTTTTTAGTAAAATATCATTTTGAAAAGATGAAATCAATTAAACTTTTAAAAATATTTTTTTTTTCGCTTTTTTAAATAATAACTTTGTAATAATACGAACTTTATATATAAATTATAAAATGTTCGGATTTTATTTACTTTATAAAAAAAATAAAAAATATTTCTAAACCAAATTTGTTTATTAAAAAAATTAAAAAAATGATGAAAATTTGAGATTTGATTTCATACATTCAAAAAAATTGTTCATAAAAAAATTTGTTATGATATAAGATATAATAAATTTTAAAAATATAAAATATTCAAATTTTAAATTCAATAAAAAAAACATTCAAAAAATGAAAAAAATAATAAAAATTTGCGAGTTTTTACATATATATTAGTTGTTTTACATATTCAAAAAAATTTTCTTTTAAAAAAAAATTGCAATTATACTTTGCATATACATAAATTTTTATTAAAATCAAAATTTTCGAATTAAGTGAATTTCTTTAAAATACAGTGTACGAAAATTTTTTAATTGATAATGTGTGTCAATACATGTAAATATCTATTTTTTTATTCAAAATAAAATTTTGTTTTCATTAAAATATTTTTAAATTCAGTTGGATCATCATTATTTTAGTTTTATATATCTATTATCTATTATCAATCTATATTCCAAATTTCGAATTGAATTCATTTTAATTAATTATTAAATAATTAACAAATAAATTTCTTTTCAGTGAAACAGATCTCAAATTTCAATATATTTCTTTTTCTCAAAAAAATATGATAATTAATAAAAAACAATTTTTTTTTTATTTTTCTTTTCCTAAAAAATCAATCCTAAAGAAATTAAAATTAATAAATGTTATGTAATAAGAACTTCATAATTCTTTAAAATTTATCAATTTTTATATATTTCAATATCTATTATTTATTTCTTCAAGTGATTTCGATAAAAATTTCAGCATATATATAATTATTATAAAATGTATTATTTTTTCATTACAAATTTAAATAATTTAAAAAAAAAAGCGATATTTTCTTTGCGATTTCAATCAATTGCAATTTTTACAAATTTTTTTATATATATCACCTAATAAACTAATTCCTTCAACTTTTCAGAAAAGAAAAATTTTCAAAAATTTTTAATTCAATTTTTCCAAAAAAGGTACATTTTAAAATAGAATTATTTTAAAAGATGATCGAATATTTTGTCAGGAATTATTCTATTATATATATTATAATTCGTTACATAACTCGATGACTCGATAATATTATTTTTGCGAATTAATTTTGTAGCTTTATATAATAAGAGAAAATTGAATAAAATGAGAAAATTCAGAGATTTATCATGCATTCACACTATTAATAAACCGCTTTTTTATATATATGTATATTTACTTCCTATTCATTCAATAGCTCATTCAATCGAATCGATCACGAATTTTATCTTCGTTTTCTAATCTGTTCATTGAGGCTTCAAAACTAGTTTTTACGAATGAGATGAATTCTCGTGCTACATATATTTAGATATATTAATAAATATTAAACCGAATATTTATATTTATAAACTTAAATATATAATATAGCATGTCGCTGATTTTACTAATATATTTATTTCTGTAACATAATTTTTTTGTAATATTATATAATAATATTATACAATAAATTTAATAATTATGCAATTAATTTTTCCCAAATGTGACTGTTTTTTTAAATTTAATATACTATAGATTTAAATATTACAAATTTTTTGTAGGCACTATTATATAATATTATTATTATATTGAAATATTTTTATTATTCCTATTATACTATTATGTAATTATTGTTTTTTTCATTAAAATCAATTCATTATTATAATTCAAAATTCCATTTATTTCATTCATTTATTGTCCGGAATTTTTCTTCTGGAACAGCACAATAACAAAAATCCTTCCTCCTATAGTCACCAATATGCAATGTAATCTTTGATGTAACATTTTCGGTTATATGTTATTACTCATACAATTATATTAGTTCTATTAAAAATCAATTGACCAGCATCTTTTTCATAAATTCTTAAGCGTTTCATGATACTTAAATTATTATCTTGTTAATATGCAAATAAACATATTGTGTGTACATATAATGTTTATCGATATATAAATATAATGTATAATAATATAAGTACAATTCGAAATTGTAAAAAAATTGGAAAGAATAAAAAAAAAAACAATTTCACTGAATATACACGCAAGTATTTTATATGCAGTGAGCAACATGTATATATGCATATGTATTACGCGCATATAGAGAGCACAGCGTGGGAAGGCATGGGAAAATTGTATAGGACTTGGATTCACAATTGAAGGAGAAACTAGAGACAGAAGGGAATGTTGAGTCGTTGGATGCTCTGTTGAAGCGCAGAATGGTAAGTGGAGTCGGGGATCGGAGGGTCTGTCACATTGAGTGGGGCACCATAGAGAGAAGTGGAAAAACAGAGGAGGAACGGTGAGACAGCCTGCACTGCTTCTAGCGCTTGAGGGTTAAGGCCCGTTACGCAACGTAATAACCCCATGAATTTTTTTTTCAAAAATATCACCCAGCCACAAATCAGTCAGAAGCTTGGCATAAATTATAGAAATATCAATAAAAAAAAATTAAAACGTAACAACATTTTAATAAATTTTATTAATCATTTTTTAATTTAAATATTTATTAAAGCATCATTTTTTCGATTTCATGTTTTTTGTAGTAAATGAACAATACTGTTCAAATATAATAATTAATACAATTCAGAAAAATCAAACATAATATATAATATAATATATATATAAAGATATAAATAACATATAATATTATAAAATATATATAAAATTTTTATACGAAATTAAATTATCTATTTTCATAAAATAGAAAAATTCTAATTTAATTCTAACTAACTTTTATTATCAATTTATAATAAGTTTTTTAAGTTAACAAAATATTTCAATTTAATCTCTTACCTATTATTAAATGAAATCTAATAATTTTTTTATACTTTTTACATATGCGTGTCACGAGCGTATGTCGTACATACAACGTTGTCGAAATTCTGTCAAGCAAAGAAAAATAGTAATTGAACAGAGACGTAAAGAAACGAGAATAAAGCGAAACAAACATAGAGGAAAGAGAAAGAAGAGAGTTGGGAAAAGAGAAAGAGATTAAACTGCTATAAGAGAGACATGTGAAAGCCACTAATATTGCAAGAAGGGAGCAAGATGAAAAGAGGGGAAGGATACTCGACCCAGTAGCGTAACCATCATGAAGTAAATATATATAAAGACACAGATATAATGAAAACAGATTAATCTGTAATGCATGATAAAATAACGAAATAATGTTGGCTAAAATATAATAATTTCGAAAATATAATAATTTGAAGATTTTATACTTAAATTATTTTATATCTTAAAAGCAAATTAAAAAAATAATTAAAACTATTTTAGCAACTATATTATTCTGCTATTATCTTATCTATCTAATAATCAATATTTATCGATTTTTATACTAACAAAACATTTTAAAATATTTATAATTGATAAGATTAAGTTTTATTAATATTTAAAATATATATAAAATATATAAAACTGTATAATGATTTAAATTAATTAGTATACATCTCAATATCAATGTATAATATATATAATTTTAATATATATATTTTTATACATTAATTTTTCGTAGATTTTATGTAATAATGAATGTTTTACTCAAACTAAGAGCGTACCAGTACAGAAAAGAAGTTCTTGTTCATCTGCTAGGAGTCTTTTTTACGAATACTCGAGAAGAGAACTGAGCAACCGTATATTCCCCTCTCCTGATTACGCCACTGACTCGATCCAGCGAGGCAGCACGAATAACCGGTGCGCTGTTGCCAAGCGGAAATCACAGACCTGCGGGATTTTCTTCTTCCATGAAGACACGTTGCATTCGCTTACTGTGTTGACTTCTTATCAAGCTCATAAAAATAAACATTACAATAATTGAATTGATTTTATTTATATAATAACAAAGCTTAATAAAAAATGTCATCTTGTATATTATCCCCATTATTAACAAGTAAAAATGTTTTTGAAGTATCTACTTGATATATTTACAATTAATTAAAAAAATAATAGATATAAGATATAATATTCTTTTCAGATAAGAGACAGATATTATACATAGAAAATTTATTAATGAAAATATAAAAATTTTTTAATGAAATGATATATATTTTTGTATGTTATTAAATAATAATATTTATTATAATAAACAAATAAAATAAACAAAGAGGAAAAATATAATTTTTAAATTTAAAAATTAATATTATAAAAAAATGAAATTCATGAATAAGAGAAAACTAATACTTTCACTGCTCTATATTACTAAAATATTAATAATCAATACATTTTATAAATATCAAAAAAGTTATACATAATAGTTAAGTTATATTATGTCCAAAAATAGATTATTATATTTAAATTATTTCAACTTATAGAATAAATATATTAAAATAATATATATATATTTTATATATATATATTTTATAATAATAAATATTATAATAATAATATTAATAAATCTAACAATAATATT